TGTGTGTGTGCCCATGCACGCTGGCACACATGCACCCAATGAGGATGCATGTTGGTCATCGCCCACTGCTGTACAACATCCACCCTCCGCCCTGAGCCGACCGAGAGGCAGGGCCCAGCGTCCCGCACACTTAAACACCCCATGGCCTGACAGTGTGTTGCTTTCTGCCACGTCTAATATCCAACTAGTGGAATATTTAAAGATCAAAGATTTCTCACAAGGGCTGGGTGTCCTGGCTCCTGAGAAACGGAAAGAAGGCTCCTCTCCCCACAAGCACCAGGCACTGGACCTGGCAGCCACAGGCCCTCCCGCGGAGGAAGTGTCTTCAAGTTCACCGCAGGCCCCACCATTCCCTAATGCCTATGCCTAATGCTTCCCTCTTCAAGGTCACCTACCTGGGCAGCTCTTGGCCTCTTGTGTCTATGCAAGAATTTTTCCCCTCAATCACCTCTCTCCACCAAAAATAATGTTACCTACTTGGGCCCTGCAATGCTCGGGGTTCAACCCAGGGCTGTGAAGCCTGTGAAGTTATAATGTCCCCACAGATGTCCCTGGTCTAATCCTGTGAGTGCTACCTTATATGGCAAAAGGGTCTTTGCAGATGCAATTATGCTAAGGATCTAGACATAGGAAGATTACCTTGGGTTCTTAGACCCGAAAGGTGATCATACCTGTCCTTACGGGAGCAGGAGAAGGCATCTGAGGAAAGGCAGCAGCCAGAGGAGGAGAGATGAGAATGATGCAGACCAGCAGCTTCCAGAAGCTAGAAGAGGCAGGAAGAGCCCCCCTTTCCATTCCACCCCAGGCCTCCCAAAGGAAACACCCCGTGGGCATCTGGGTTTCAGCCCCTGGTACTGGTTTTGACCACTGGCTTCCACAACTGAGGCTACTTTGCTGATTTAGCTAAGAAGGTGATGGGGGGTCTGTCCCAGCAGCAGGAAGAGACACTCACCCCTGTCAACAGTGAGCAGGCGGTAGGGCCTGCGCCCGGGGCCAGGGGACTCCTTACCTGGCACGCTGGATGAACCAGGTGGCTTTCTCGGAGTACTTCTGTGTGAGGCTGCTCAGGTTCACAGGCTGCTCCACAATGTCGAGGTTTTCGTACAGAGGGAGCGCCACGTCGGTGTAACAGTCTCTCCCGGGGCGCCTGGTGGAGACCACAGATGTGGAGCATTCGTTTCCACAAACCATGACCCGAGTCGTCGAAGAGCAGGACAGAACGTTCCGACACAGCCACACACACAAGTAAAACCTCCAGGAGGCTGGCCCCGGTGGCTCTTCCCGTCTGCCAGCTCCGTGTCAGACCCCTCGTCGGCCAGGCGGCCATGTGCCCGGACTCACCGACCCCTTAGAGTCCGTGAAGACAAGATCTCTCCCCTTTTGCTGGCAGAGAAACAGAGGTCTAAACAGACCAGAGTCCACAGCCCACCCCCAGCCCACCCGGCCTTTCCCACTGTGCCCCCAAACTTCTGGTTGGGACGCATTGTCTCGCATGTCCCTAAGTCAACAGATTCCTGTGACGTGGTCTCTGATGACAGGACAAGTGGCCAGGGACAGTTTTTAAAACTTAAGCCATGTCTGGAGAGTGGGAGAAACTTCAACTTGAACAAGCGGGGCCACACGAATAATTCCTCCTGGAAAAATTAGACTCGGCCCTGGGCCAAAGAGATCAGAAGGAATCGGACACGGGGCGGTCCCGTCAGTATGGCTCACGGGCTGTGACAGGGCCTTTCCTTACGACGCGGGGGCTGCCCGGGTGGCCTCACGGGGCACTGGGAGGAATAAGCCAGAGAACAAGGGGTCTGTGTTTGCATAAGGGTCACCATCTGGGGGACTCAGTAATCATTCCGTGCTGGTTACTGCAGATAGCCCAAGACAGAGCCCAGAGACAGAGCCCAGGTCTCCCCACAGCTCCCCTCAACAGTGTGTTTCAGTAGATCCACCTCTTCTGCTCCCCACTCTGGTGAAGCCTCTCACCACCCCTGCACCTCTGGCTTGTACTCCAGTTCTGTATGCATAAATATATAAATTTTAAAAATTTTTTAAAAATTAAAAAAAAAACAATCAAAGGGAGTGGCTGACCTATATCACACCCTATGGGCAGGTGGGACTCCAGGTATAACCCTCAGGCCACAACATGCCGGTGAGGAGGTGGCAGAGTGTCTGGCAGCCCCACCCCACCCCACCCCATACTCAGGACCAGCCCAGACAGGTGCATTTCACACAGGTCGAGCAACCCCAGGCTGCAGGACCAACGAGCACATTGAAGGACCTGGCACTGGACCCTGCAACACACAGCTGGCCCCACGCCGACTCTCACAGCTGCCTCACAGCTCCACGTGACCTGGGCAGCGGGGGAGGCTTCCTTTCCTAAAGGCCAGGTGAGCCGTGCGGATGTCAGGGGAGATGCACAGGGCCTGGGCTGTGACACTTTCCCCACAAAAGGCCACAGTTGCACTAGCTGTGGTGTTACCCACAAGCTGGTTGAGACCTGTCTTCCCCGGAGGCTCAGACATAACCTCGTCAACAACCCTGGTGTAGTCTCAACAAGCACAACACACGGCATGTTGCTCTACTACCTGGATAAGGTTATCTTTTTCTGATAATAAATGCATTGCATGCTCATTACCGAGGATTCGAAAAATCCCCCAAAAATATATGAAAACTCCGCAGTCCCCTGGCTAGAGAGAATGAACCATTGTTCCACTTTGGCACAGAGCTAGAAAGGTCTAGATAGATGGCTGAGACCTATGGTTACTGCCCTTTTTCACTTCCTGTCATACTGTGAGCATTTTCCCATTCCTGTGAATGCATTTTTGAGACTTCCTCTTTAGTGCTGACGAGGCCCCCTGGCTTCAGAATGTGTCTTATCTGTCTTGCCAGCCACCCCTGCTCTTTCTCTCTCCATCCCTCCTCATGTCCAATGTCTGGGCCAGGAACAAATCCAGCAGTAGAGAGGCAGGGAAGTCCCACCTGTGTAAGACCTTGGCAGTACCAGGTTCTCCCCAGCTGAGCAAAACAGACTGGAATCCAGAAAATTTCAATAGAAGAATTTTGTTGACGTTGCCTGTGCTACAATCTTACACTCTGTGCAGACAAAGCTTTTCCACTTGTACTGGCTGGACAGTCTCTTTTCTGCTGTCTCAACTGACCCCTACTGCTTTCTTCCGATGACGCCGGATGGATTCCATGCTTAGAACTGCCTTTCTTAGAAGCTCATAGCAAATGCCTGGGAGAGGATTACCTGGACGGTCCAGCGCCCCGTGGACAGGCTGGGCAGGGAGGGTGGTTGTAGCCTGGAGAATCGGTGCAGCCCATGTCGTGGCTGTATGGAATTCCAAAGTAGTAATCAAAACCTGGAATGGGAGCAACTGGTTAGCACCCCTTGGCTGCTGCTAGGAGAGCTTGCATTCTTACATGCATGGTGGAGATTAAATTCTCATTGCGTTAATACCGCAGTGCTATGGAGTAGGTAATTAAAAGAGGATTTGAGTCATATCCCTTTGTAGTCTGTAGGAAAAAAAAATGCTATGCTGGGTTCTGACATCTTGTGATCAGTTAACCCAGAGGGGGAGCAAGAGGGAGGATCCCTAGCAGTTGACACCCCAGAACAAGTATGGACACATTCAGTAGCTGGCAAAAATCTATTACATGTGTGACATCTTAAGACAAAAAGTATAAATTCTGCCCTCAAGAGACTCCCCGTCTGATAAGGGAAATATGAGGTAGGAATTAAGATGTGTGAAGCAGCCAGGAGACTGGTGGGGGTTTTGGGGGGCCAGGACAGAGCATGGAGCAGGGCAGGATGGAACTGGCATGAACTTGGACACAGGAATCCAGAAACCTCAGCAGGTCCAGAAGCTTTTAAGAATTGCCCAGCCCAGGAATAGCAAATCCATGGGAAGTGCTCTCTCTTCCCACTTCCCTAACAGGTCACAAATCCAAAATGGCGTCACTTCCTGCTGGGCAGGGCCCAGCCTCGACCCTCCCACGCAGGACTCGGGAACAGGAACTCATATTGACAAAGGCTTCTGGCCTACCTAACTCCCTCATGTGTCAAGTGAGAAGCTCAACCCCAAGGAGGAAAAAAGTAGGTCCTGGAGTCGTTTTTAGTTAATGAAAAAGCCAGGTCTTTACTTATCCCATCCACCATTCAATTATTTTAGAATTATGTTTATTGAGGTACCACTAATTTACAACATTATGTGTGATTTAGGGGTATAAGTTTACACCCCTACAAATATAAGTTATCACACTACACCCGCTAATTAGTCATCTTCTATCACAGTCAGGCCATCTTGTCCCTTTGCTTCCACCCTCT